TACATTATGTCATCCATAATGGATGGCATAATGTACAAGTGGAATTATCCTTACGAATGCGAGAAGCTTTTATATTGACTTATACCTTAAGAGTTCATATTGAGAATTTAACGAACCTGCCTAATAATAATGAAATGTCTAGTTAGGCAAGAGTTGACCACTAGATGATGCTAATAGAGCATGGATTATAAGCATTTATTGAGCCCCCTAGTTAGCTCCAATATTTTGGGATTTTTTTTTTTTGGGTACCCTTTGGNTTTTGGGATTTTTTTTTTTTGGGTACCCTTTGGAACTATTTTATCAATAATTTCGTGTTGTGCAGTGCCAACTAATCACAATGACACGCACACATAGAACTTATCCAAACCCATCAAATGTTGCTATTTCAAAAGCTAAAGTTGCCATCGAGTCTCAAACTCAAACCCTAAAAGATGAGTGAATAAACTCTTTGTTTTCTATTACCCGACAATACAAAATTTTCAGTTTCAATCCTTTTTCCTTTTTAACCTTTCATCCTTCTTTTTACCTATTTTAAATGTAAAACATGTCAATAATTGAAGTAAATTTGTTATAAAGTTCAAACAACCTTATACTTGGTATATCAAATATTTGAATAATGTTATTCATTATGATTAGTTAAAATGTTATTCATTGTTAACAATCAATTTAGGTGATATTTGAACAATGAATCAAGAGGTCCGTCATGAGTTACTTAGGACTCGTTTGACACGATTTTTTTTTTAATTTCCTGTAAAAGAGTTTTTGAAAGATACTACCTTTATTTTTGCTTGAAAACTAATTTTTAAAAGGGTTTTTTAGTTTGTAAGTATTTTGGGAGGAAATTACATTGGATCAATTTTATCTAAAATCTCTTTTAATTAAAAGAAATACTTTCATAAAATTAGTCAAACAAATCTCAAAATATTTTTTAGATCTCGAATTTTTTTTTTAACTTTTCAAAAATCATATCAACTGACAGCTTACACAAATGATAATGACCACTAACAAAACAATGAATAGTAATACTCGATTTATTTGTCAAAATAATTTGACCCAAAAAATGAAAGAAAGAAAATAAGAAAAACTAAAAAGATCCTATTTGTGGGGGAAGGGTCCCAGTCCCACAGAGGGGCACTTTTCCATGTCATGAAACGGACAGGTCCTTTCTCTTGCACTTTTGATCCCTTTTATCATTATTTTAATATTAGGAAATGTTGTCAGAATTCACAGTACAACGGAACGGAACAAGAAGACTTACACTAAAGGTCAGATCTTTTCTGTTTTTAGGGTTTTGATGAAGATTGCTGAAAAAAGCCTCTCAACTTTGCTTTCCTGGTGTACTTCTTTGTGTTTTGGCTGCCTTGCTAAATCAGGTAAATTCAGACCTTCTTGGGAAATGGGTTTGCTTTTCTTTGTGGGTTGCTTATTATTTTTGAGCTCTTTGAGAAAAATTGTAGGGGAATCCAACTTTGGGTGCCTTGGAGTTTTCGTTTTAGTCTTAGTTGGACTTTTCAGTTTGTCTTGTTGAATTTTTTGAGGAATTAATACTCTCAATTACGTTTCTGTTCATCTCCCAATGTTTCCGGATTTTTTTCATGTAAGAAATAGTTAAATGCACTTTGTGTTGTTGGATTTTTTCCTTCCCGGTTTAAAAGTTAAAATCATCGAAACAACTGGGCAGTAATTTTGTCTGAAATTCTCGCTTTTCGTTAGAAATTCTTGATTCCTCACATGTTGGAATACCTTCCCCCTTTTTATTCTGAATAGGTTCTGTTGTTCCTTTATCATGTTGTTGTAATAATTTAACATTTTAAATTGTGAAGCATATCAGCAGAGAATTTGTTCTGTCAGAGTGAGAATTTTAGTTAATCATATTTTTGACTTGCAAAACTCCTTTCTTCCAATGTTTTGAGAAGGTAAATTTCATTCCTAGACTAACCTCAGTACCCTTCTCTATCCTATGTAGAAGGTAGCAGATAGTTAAATTTCTGTTATTTTAAATATTTTTCTTCACTGATGCTCATAATTTATTTTTTCCCTTGGTCACGGTTTTCATTTTCACCAGTTAATGTAGACTGGTTCACAAACAACGAAGAAAGTGCTGGGATGTTCTTCGACGTCAATCTTATCCCTGTACAACAACCTGTTTATGATCTTCTAAAAGTCTGCTTTTTGTCAGTTTGATTCAATTGTTTGCCTGAAAGTTCGAGGAATGCAGTGTTGAAGGGAGTTGTTTGATTCAGAATAAAAAATTAATTGAAGTATGGGTTATCTATGTGATTTCTGTGTGGAGCAAAGATCCATTATATATTGTAGGTCTGATGCAGCTAGCTTATGTTTGTCTTGTGACCGTAATGTCCATTCTGCTAATGCCCTTTCAAGACGTCATTCAAGGACACTTGTGTGTGAAAGATGCAACAACCAAGCAGCATACATAAGATGCATTGAGGAGAGGGTATCTCTTTGTCAGAATTGTGATTGGACGGGGCATTCTGGCTCAGATACAAGTCCTGCACACAAGAGACTACTGGTTAATTGTTACTCTGGCTGCCCTTCAGCTGCAGAACTTTCTGCAATCTGGTCGTTTCTGTTAGATTCCCCCTCAGTTGGAAATTCCACTTGTGAGCAGGGGATGGGTTCAATGAGCATCACCGAAGAAAAGAATGATATTCAAGACGCATCTGTTGTAATGGAAGCTAGTGGCATATATAATATGGATGTCAATAAATCAACTGTTTGGACAGGATCA